TATAAGCTGAGGCACAGAGAGGTTAAGGAACCTACCCATGGGTCACACAGCGAGAAAATGATGAACTCATGGGGGCCAGGCAATCTGGCTCTAAAGTGTGTTATCAGCCGCTGTACTGCAGCTGCACTGGAAGATTCGTATGGTCTAGAAATAGTCTTCCATGGAGGTTGTATTACTTTATACTCCCAGCTAAACACATTGAGTCATTTATGCAGTTTATGTCAGCTATTGAAAACTGACTTTACCAATATGATTTCCAGCTATCCCTCCCTCATAATTGCTTTTATTTTTATGTGCATATTGGATATATTTTAATGGTATTTCCTTGGAGAAAATATCCCTCCAAAGAACTTTTTTCTCAACAAGGGCACAAAAACTATGTCCACAAAGGTTCTGCTCTAAAAACATTTATTGCAACTTCATTCATAGTAGTAAAAAGGGGAAAGAACCCAAATGTCCATTCACAAGGGAATAACTAATCAGACTATACTGTGTTCATATAGTGACGTATTATTCAGCACTAAGAAGGGCTGGACCGATAGAGCAGTGTGCACACATTCCAGAAACTTAATGCTGAGGGAGGGAAGCCAGTCCCAAGGAAGTACGTGTTGTATGACACCATGTACGTGAAGTTCAATAATTGACAAGACAAATCTGTGTAAATAAAAGTTGGGATAATGATTCTTTCTGAGCAGGGAGAAAGGACATGAACCTGAGTGATGACAAAGCTCCATATTTTTATTGGTCAAAATTCCTTCACTTATGTCCTTAGTATTGGCATATTTTCTTTTGTGTACTTGTACCCCACCTATACAGACATGTGTACACACGCAAACACACACAGGGTGCATAAAAACTGATGTTCCCTTCTTTCCCAACCCCAGTGGTACACATCATTTATAGACTGGTGTGGAGTTTCTAGACGTTTCTATTTACATGCATATATGTATATATCATCCGAAGAGGCTTTCATGTTTTCACATGAACAAAACAAGGCTTTATGTATTCTGGTACCTGCTTTCTTTTTCAATTAACAATATGCCTTGAAGGTGTCTTCATCTGGCCTTAATATTTGTAGCTATGTGATTCCATATTATGAATGTACTTAATTTCTTCAATCAGTTTCATTCTAATGGACAAACAGGTAGTTTTCAAATTTTCGCTTGTGTCATTCTAATGAAAACATTTTTGCATATATCTTCTGCATGTGTGCAAGCATTTTTGTAGGCTTCTTTTCTAGAAGAATTTGATTGGGGGGAAAGGTGTGTGCATTTTAGTGGATCCTGCCAAGTTGATTTCTAAAAATGCTTCTGTGAATTATATTTCTGCTGACCACATATAAGAGCTGGATTCCTGAATCCTTTCCAAAAATGAAAATTATCAGTTGTTTAAAGTTTTCAAGAGCAGATAGGTAAAAACTTGCATCCAATTTCTGCTGATATTTTAAAATAAATTTTTATTTTCTCCTTTGCATCCAAAAAGCCACATACCCTAGGAGGAGCATGGGCGTCTCCTGTCTTGCACTCCCAGCTAGGTAATTCTCGAAGTCTCAAAGCCTGCGGTGTTCTCCCCAGCAAGTTAGAGAACATTTTCTAATTTTAATTTGGCAGGCTCTTCTAGTAAGATAACAGCAACCTGTTATCTCTGACATATTTTCTGAATACAATAGTTATTGATGACCTTGATATCGGTTGGAATTTTTTAATTCCTTGATGGTGCCTGAATTTTGAAAAGTGCCATGACTTACTTTACAAAACTCCCTTATGAAACATTGCAATTTAAGTAAGTTTCCCCCGCTCCCCCGGTAGCGGGGATTGAACTCATGACCTTGCACTTGCCGGGCAGGCGCTGTGCCGCTGAGCTAAACCTCCAGCCCCTTAAGTAAGATATTGAAAACTGACTTCACCAATATGTTTTTCAACTACCTCTCCCTCATCATTGCTTTTAGTTTTAATGTGCATGTTGGATATATTTTAATGGTATTTGCTTGGAGAAAATATCCCACGAAAGAACTTTTATTCTGAACACGAAGCAGGTAAATCTCTGGTGGCGGCTTGAGGCTGCCCAAGTTGCCTAGCGGGGAGAATCTGGAGAAGTACAAAGCAAACTTTCTTCTGGGGCAATGTAGGAACAGGCGTCGCGGTGTGCACCCCTACTGTCCCTGCGTGGCAGGGCGGAGGGACGAGTGAGAGATGTTCCGAGTTCAGCATGCTCATTTAGTCAGTGTGGGTTTGCTTCTGCAGGTGGAGGAGGATACGGAGTCTGATAGTTCACATCCAGCTTTTATTGTTGGAAATGCTGGACCTGTTAGTAGGACTGTGGCCATTTATTTTTCACTGAGCATCACTGAACTGGGAATGGGAGGCCTTTTGTCCACCACGGGATCTAGCAGTTTTAAATTTCATGACCTCTCTGCCTGCTTCCTTTGTAAACTGCCTTTTCAACCTGCGCTTCAGAGGAACCTGAGGGCTCCTCTGAGGGGCACCGGACAGAGTGGTTGCTTAGTAGCTGATGCTGTGCTCATCTGTCCCGCCTTTAACCCATGCCACTCCTTTTCTCCTTCCTTCCTGGGCAAAGCAGTTCTTTTCCTGTTTTTGTTTCCCAGGAAGCTCTTACAGAAGAGAGGGTCAGACTACTAGAAACGTATTTGCAAGTCATGGGTCCACTTCATAGAGACAATTGAAGCGCATACTGGGGATGCAGCTGTTGATGGTCATGTATGCACAGTGATCATGCTTGTCACCTGGTCCTCCAATCTGACTGGCCCACATCCTCAGCAGTACCACGCGACCCCCATTTTTCCTTTTCAATTGCTGGTATCCTTATAAGACAGCATTCGAAGGAGTGATTGAAAAATGTCGAAGAAAGCCCTGCATGATGTGTCAGACACCAATCTCCTACTTTTCTGAGCCACTTATTTTTAACTCGGGAAGATTTAAGGGACACATGAACTTGGAATTTAGTTTTTCCTTTTGGATTGATAAAACCTTGCATATACCTGAAAGTAAGGTCTGTGTATTAAGACTGCTCTGAGAGCTTTGTTGAAATTCTTTATACAAGTGATGCTCGTAATAATAATCTATTTGTCACTGGTGCTTGAAAGGGATAGTGTTTAACAGTTGGTTCTATTTAATGTTATGATTTAAAGTAATAAAAAATAATAGAATGTACTTCTGTACAGAATACTCTGATTAATCTATCTCACTAGTCATGCTGACCTCTCCATCAGATCCTTTATTCTGGGCAGTGACCTCATTTCTAAGTAACTGGAAAATGTGTTTGCCCTGGTTAATATGAGCTTTAAAAATATCAAATTTGTTCAATCAGGAAACAAGAGGTCATTGTTAAATTCTTCCGAGTAAGCTGAAGCTCATCTTCTGAAACTAGATTTGCATATAGACTTGAGTTGGTGGTTTCGTATGTGTATGTTATTGTACTGAGTAAAAGTATGGAATAGATAGAAATTGGTGGTAGCAATCAGGACTAAAGAGATGATTATTTAATTTCGCCTGTATCGTCCTAGTCTACCAAGAATACTTCAATTGCCATTGCTGTTGGTGGGATAAATATTCCCAAGGGGCCCAAGTGTTCAGAATTTCTTTTATTAGCATGATTACTAAAAGAAGATTGCTTAGTAAATAATTCTCTTGAGCTCCATTTTCTTGAGATGGGAGGGAAAAAGAGAGCTCATAATTTCAGGAGGACTAGAAATAAGACTGTCATTCAGAGAGCTGGTTTTGTTTGCTTTCGGGTTCAATTTGACACATTTGCTACGTGTCACCTAGTTCTCATCTTGTTTATAGGTACAGAAGAGCAGTGACTCTTAATACACAGTACTTGTCTTGGGAGTCAGGGCTTAGTCACAGTGACTGAAATGGCAGTGCCGGGGAGAGGAGGTAAAGAAATTAGAAAGGACCCCCGATGATTGTGCTTCTGAGCCCCTGTGCTGCCCTCCTGCCTCCACACGTGTCGGATTAGATTTATAACAGCTGCTGTGGACATGGTTGCCTAAATCCGTGGAATGTTTTGCTAAATGCCTCTCATGAAATAGTTCACATCAAGCTGTAACTGCTGGTTTTTTTTTTTTTTTTCAATTTTAATCCATCTTTTATTCTTAGACTTTTGCTCACTTGATCACTTTATGATTTTCCACTTTGACATCCTATAGATTCATTAAGAACTTTTATTCCAAACGCCAGGGCTTTGTTTAACAGTATGATTAGCCAAAGTGTTATTTTGTTTGAGGTAAGCATTGACAGTGTATTTGATTGGAGTTTTGTGATTGTTATTTTAAAGTCAAAGTAACGGGTTAGGATTTCAGAATAAGAACGTGAGCTAAAAGAATAATAGTACTTAGAATAGCAGCCAGTTAGAAGAAAATAAATGTACCACAGGGCCCACCTACCTTATTCAGTCCTGTCTTTTACCCCACTTGCCTTCCTACCCTGAGCTCCCTTCCCTGTGGCCCTTGTTCCTTTGACTAGCCAGCTGCTTCCCTGCGTTCAGGGTTGTGTGCCCTGTTCTCTCTGCTGGGAAGCTCCTCCGCTGGTGTTTCTCCTGATTGACTTCTTTGAGTCTCAGTCACAGTCTGACTCCTGAGGGGGGCTGTCTCTGGCCAAAGTGTCTGAAGTCATCTCCTCCCACCCTGTCACCTGTCCACATATGCGCATCATCATCTCTCATGTCGTGCTGTCTATTTCTCCAACATTAGGAAACTGAAGTTGTGTCTTTTTGGTGCAGTACTTGTCTGCCTTGCTCACTGGACTCTCAGCTCCATGAGAATGTAGACTTTACCTACCTCATTCACCACTGAAGCCTCAGGGCCATCCTGACATTCAATGGGTGCTCAGTACCTATTTGTGCTTGAAAAATGGAATATTCTGAGCTCCCAGCTTTTCTCCTAATTAAGATATTCCGTGTTTAGTCCTTCCTGAATCCACTGTGACAACATATGCTTGCCCAGTGGTTGAATGTAACGGAGCTGTGTTGGCTTTTCTCAGGCACATGAAGGATCAGAATAAGAAGGTGGCCAACCTCAAGCACAATCAGCAGCTGGAAAAGAAAAAGAATGCCCAGTTACTGGAAGAAGTCCGCAGGCGAGAAGACAACTTGGCTGACAATTCACAGCATTTACAGGTGAGACCGGGTTTACCTTCTTCATCCTTCCTAATTAAACACATTAATTTTGTACACTCAGGAAGTTCACAAAACTTGCTTTACTTCACTCAAAGCTCGAAGGTTCTGAGACAGATCATTATTCTGCCTTCTTTGTAAATACAGTTATCTCTCAGTGACATTCCTATCTCAGAAACCAACCAACTGACTGAAAACACCAGTCTTTCCTCATTAACCGTTCCTATTTTTGGCAAAGGGATTCTTCCCATATGCTTAATAAAACATTCAAGTGAAAACAGGGCATTTCCTTTGAAGTTTATTTATTCCAGTATGCCTTTCAACAGAGATTCATTTCAACTTGGCTGCAGTTGGTGATAAATTTTGCTTATTAATTATTGTCTTTCTCCATTTATATATTGGGCTTCTTCCTTGAAGATAGAAGAAGTTAGATAATTTCAGTATGTCCTTATAGTTCATCTTTTTAATTGACCACCAGAGAAATAAGAAATTATTCCAGAGGAAGAAAGTGTAAGAAAATGTATAGCACAGAACAAGGCAGAGAGGGGCTACTTAGCCAATATTAGTTCCTTTTTTCGCTGTGTCCTGGAAATACCGTAATGCTGTCACTCCAGCCTGCTCTGCGTTGGTGCTCGCTTTGGAGTTTTCATGGAACGGCACAATGCTAGGATCAGGTCCTCTGCTGAGTTCTGCATGCTTTCACACGGACCACAGCATGGTTAAGGCCACAGCTTCCAAAGTGCTCTTGCAAGTCGTGTTCCAGGATGTTGGGTCTCAGTTTCCCCATGTGTCCCAGAGATTTAGATAGAAACCTAAAGACTGAGATAATAACAACTAAAATTTGCAGAACATTTTAGTTTTTTTCCCCAGGCATATGTTTTTTAAAATTCCTTAACAAGCTTGGTGGTTTTACATGTAGTGAACTACAGTCTCAGAAAAGTTATGACATGACGTCCTAGTAAAGGGTCCTGACTCCAAGAAATAAATGCTGAGAAATAGCAAGAGTGGTCAGTACTATTCACGGACTGTTTCAATATGCTGGACACTGACGCTTTGCTCGGTGTTGCTTGAATTCACAGGACGCTCCGCAAGTGATGGCCAGCCCACTTTCTAGGAATGCTGTCAATCCAGGGGGAGGAGAGTGACTCTGGCTAATAGTTCTACAGATGTTGAATATGAAGATTATCCAGGCCAGGGTCAGGCCCTGTCATCACTTGGAGCCCAAGTAGAAAGATTCAGCCTCACCCAAATCCCATGGGATAAGAGTGAGCACAGGAGATATCCCACAAGAATGAAAGAAATTCTGTTATCTGGAGGGGTACAGGACAGATAAAAACACGGAGGTCCACTGCAGCCATCACGTGGGGTGGATAAACAGTTGTGATTTCATCTGTTACATGGTGAGGGAGGCTCTGAGAGATAAAATAACTTGTGCGACATTACTTAGCTAGTAAGTGAAAGTCCGGGAACTTAAACCTTTACCTGCCTATGTTTAGGTACTAAGAGGTCTGAAAAATTAGGAAGGCAGGCAAACTGAGATGGCAGAGTGTCTTCATGGAAGCAATAGGCTCTGAGCTGACTCCATTTAAATTGAATGCATTTGAGTTGAGAGAGAGATGAGTGCTGGTGAAGGCCCTCTAGGTAAGAGAACTAGCAGAAAGAGGACAGAGGTCGGGAAAGAAAAGTACAGTCCCAGCACAGAGCAGAGTGACTATGGTGGTAGTTTTCCGTGAAGTAAGCGTCATTTGCTTTCTTGAAGTGACTGGAACAAGAATGCTTCTGTTTCATTCCAGGCTTCGGAGTTTCCTGTTTCTTGGGAAGGTTCCTTAACTTCCTTACGCCTCACTTTCCTCGTTTGTAAAACAGGAAAGCTAATGGCAGCTACTCCAGAGCTGTTGTAAGGGCCGAAATGTTAGTGCATATAAAGAATTTAGAATTGTACTTGGCACACGCTCTGCTCAGAATGTTAATGATTAACTGTTGTTATAATAACAAGAAAAGGGTGAAAGAAGCATTTTTAAAAAGAGTTGCATGTTTAGAGCATTTATACAGTTGTACTCGGATGTACATTAAGTATCGAAGTTTCTGTCTTTTCTATCTATAGAAATTTATTCTTTGGAAGGACACTTCTAGTTATAGAAATTAATATCTTGTTTTTGACCCATAAACTCTTGTGAAGCAGTATTTTCCTAAGGGGCCTTGATAACCACCTCACAGACCTATTCATAAAAGATAGCCTGGTCTGGAATTGCTGAGTTGCATTCCTGACCACCCCAAATAAAGGATAACACTTGAAATGCAATAAAAAGTAATCACAATTAATTTTGATGAAAATGTCTCTGGTTAAGGTTAATAGAGAGTGAACCTCCCACTTGCCTGGATTGCTAAGCAGATATGCTCAGATGCAGTAATTGCCTTCTGAAAATAGGACTTTCTGGAGCATTTGACTTTTTAATATGTTGTTTAAGAACTTTCTGTTTGTAAATGAGACTTTTAAGCCCTTTAAGTGTCAGATATGGTCTGACTGGTTGGTTGTTTGGTTGGTTGGTTGGTGGTTGTAAGCTTGGCACCTGCTAAATTTGATTTATCCTACAGTGATGTTTTTGCTTGGTTTCTCTTTTGTTTTATTTTGTTTTATACTGGGCATTGAACCCACACTAGTATTTGGTAATGATTGGATACCCTGGCCTCTTGATTTCAACCAACTAAATAGGTATTACGTCCAGAAAGCCATCAGGGAGCATATTGCCTACAACAATGATAGCTATAGAATGAGCCTTGAAAGGAGAACTCAGAGAGATTCAACTAGTTGGTCTAAACATTAGAGACAAATTTTAGTGATAAACTGTTTATTATTTAAAGAAGGACATGATGTATATAGGCAAAACCTAGGCTGCTTCAGTCAAACCTAGATAGGTAGTCATGGTACAAAACATTTCACAACATGACTGTCTTTACTTCTCAAGTTCATATTGATTTGGCAGGAACTGCAAACTCAAGGGCCGTTAGGGTGGAGGTTATTCATATAAGTGAAAGATTTGCATGTTGAAAAGATGATGATATATATTTCCTTCAGCCTGCCTTTCATTTTTTACTTTTGGTAGAGATGCATCAGTTACCAACTGGTATGACAATGCTGTGAAAAAATCACCCCCAAATTTAGTGGCTTTAAAGTGTTAACAGTTTTTTCACTCATGTTTGTAAACTGACTGATTGGCTTGGCTGCTGAAGGGTGGGTTTGGCTGATCACTTTGCTACTTAGCCTGAAGAGCCATCAGCAACCCAGAAAAACTCTTCTAATGACAGCAGTAAAGGCAGGGGAGAATAAACAGAAATGTGCAAGGTGTCATTAGGTCTAGTCTTGAACTGACGCTATGGTTTCCATCCCAATTAATTGACCAAAGCAATGCACATGCTCAGTCAGGGACTGGGCAATTCGTTCCACAGGGGTAGAGAACGTTATAAACAGGCAGATGCAAAGAGGAGAGAAGAATTGCGACTCATCATTCAGTCTATCAAAAGAGATAGGATTTGAAAAATAGTCCTCTGTTGTAAGAAAAACAACATAAGCATAGTGAAGAATTTCAGCTGTGGTTGGCCTTAGTGTGAGAATGTAATTTAGAGTGATGGGGAACAGTAGGAAACTCAAGAACGCTTGCCTCATCTAAGTATGGGCCTGGAAGCTCTGATTGAACGTTGCTGTAAAGGTGGGACTGGTATGGTGAGACCTTCTAATTGCGCAAGTTACATAATACTGTGTGAATTATTCTGAGTATTTGAGAAGGCTGGTTCAGACTTCTTTAAACGGGACGTGGTCTATTGCACAGCCTGGAACTCAGATCCCGTTAGGTTCAGTGGTGTGAGTGCACCCCAGTTAGCTCACCTTAACCCACTACAGAGCAGTGAGAATTGGATTTTGCCCCGAGTCCCCATTTTGTCTGAAAATACCTTGAATTATTGTCAGAGGTCACCCACAATCTAGGTGGAGAGCGTGTTCTTGATTTAATTTCTTTAGTCTTTTTTAACATTAGCAAAGAGACCAAGAAGGAAAGGATAAAGAGACATGAAGTTGACCTGTTCAGTGCTCAAATCCTAGTGCCTATTAGTTACTTTACGGCCTTGAGTAAGGCCGAGATCTCCTTATCCTTTTTTCATATGCAAATAGGGATTATAATCTCTTCCTCTTTTATGCCGTAAACAAAATAAGGCTTGTGAAAGACCTGTTTGGAGCTCAGTTACTAGACCCTTTTCCCAGAGAGACAGGGAAAGAGAGTTTTGCCACAGAAGACAGTTAACCACTGGAAGTAATCACCCAGCAAACCCTTTGCAACAGCTATTTTCACTGGAAGCAATACAGATATAGAGCACATCCCAGTAAATGAAAGTTTCCAATAAAGCATTAAAATATTTTGAGCAATAAGGAGGCAAGTTAAAGCATTTTTCAAGTTAATGTTGAATTGTGTGTGAAAGGTCGATGTGAAAGATCATGCTTTTCTTGTGTAATTCTGTAGAGCCGCTCCCCGGGACACAAATTATAAAGCATATTTATGCCTGGCCTTGGGACTTTGGGCCTCTGTGTGTGCCCCATAGGAGCTCGTATGGAAATTGTTCAACAAGGTATCTTTCCAGAGATTCACACTAAATTGTTGTTACCAGGATAGGGTGCATCCTTTTCCATCTCCAGCTATTTCTTACTGAGCAAAGATGTCCATTTGAAATCCCAGTGGACATCTTTGTAGATTTTGGCTACATTTTTCCCTATGCAGCTTATTAAGTTAATGAACTAACATGCTAAGAAAGGCACAAGCCAATATTTTATGCTCCTTGTCTGTTGTATGTCTGCAGAATTCTCTTCAATTTATTGCCTGAAAACTAAAGTCTGTTCTTATGTGCTTCCGTTTCCAAATTATAGGCTCCTAGGGAACTGTAAAGTTTCTTCTCTGCCAGCAGTGAAGCCTGAGTGTGATCAGTTTAAAAAGCAAATGCATATTCCCATTTATTCT